TGAGCTGCGGCCGAGCCCTGGCCGGCGCCCTGGAGCCCCGCGCCTCCGCGACCCGGACTGCGGGCACCAAGGGGCGCACAGCCGGCGGCTGGGTCGAGCCGCTCGCGGTGGCCGGACCTCGGTTCCCGGGGTGAATCCGCCTCTCTGCTTTCAAAGATGGCATTTCCTGGGCCTGGCACGAACTCCAGCGCCAATAAATCCTCCCCATTCCGCGGGCGGGCGATAAGGAATGATTTATCAGGTAACTGCGGTGAGACAGCTGCAGTGGGGAGGGAGGGGGTGTATGTGAGAGCGCCTAGCTCCCCGGAAATTCCCGTTTTCTGACCACTTAAACTTACTGAGAAGTTGCTGTTGCCTTAAAAATTCATGGGGAAGTTGAGACAACTTGACACCTGGGTTTTCCGAGGTGGTGGAAAGAGCCTGAGGCTGGGAAACTGGAGACCTCCGTTCAAGTTGGGCACCTTTATGCCAGCTGGTGACTTTGCGCGAGTCTTTTAACCTCGCTGAGCCTCCACTTCCTCCCCTGCAAACAGCCGGTAATAATGCCCACCTCGCTAGGTTGTTGGTGGATTAAGTGGGATAAATTATGTGGAGGTGTTTGGCTCTGTGCCCGGCACAAAGCAAGCAAGCAGTTGGCGTGATGTGAATTTAATTCATTTAGAGACCCTCGTGACTCCCATTTCACCAGGAAATTAGAATTAGGAAAGCGTCTTCAGGGCCTGCTTTTGTGCCCAGGAGAACTTCTGCTGTAGGCAGAGGCTTTGGAAAAACAAATCAGCTGAATTGTAATCAGAGAGCACCTTCTTTAGAGGCAGCTTTATGTGTTCAGAAACTCCAGAAGTTGGCAGTTCGGCTTCACTTACACAAGAGCTGTAAAGCTTGGGTAGGAAGATTTCTGTGTTTCCCAGACCTGATTTTAAGTGATTATTTGGATTAAAGTTTGTCAGCTTCACACAGTTGACATTTAGGTCTGATAATTCTTTGTCCCTTCGTGCATTGTAGGATTCCTTGGTCTCTGTTCTTCAGAGTACAGTACAGTCCCTCTCCCCTAGTAGTGCCAACCAGAAACGCCCCCAGCTTATCAGCCCCTACCATGTTTCTGCTCCTTTAGAATCACCAATTTAGATAATTTCAGCACTCTGTCATTAGTCTGGGTTGTTTGCGAATTTTCTCTTGTACTTTTGTAATAATACTCTACTTTTGCCTCCCCTGACAGCTGTAGAGAGTGCACGTATCATCTCTAATTTTTACAACTTCCTCTCTGAGATGGTGTTACTGCCATTTTACAGTTGAGGAAATTGAGGCTTTGAGTAGCTGGCTACACAGTGCCTGGCATGCTAGGGGAGTAGCCTGAGTCTTCTAGTTCCTTAGGTCTTTTTCTTCGCCATCAAGGGACTCTTTGATGTATAGAGACTCACGTAGATGACTTTCCTGATGATTAAATCAAGATGTAGAGCATATTGGCAGCTGGAAACCTTTCTGAGATTGACTAGTTGAAAATTAACAACAGTAAGCTATTATCTGACAGAGAGTAGGCTGTTCTAGTTAAATATTCTAGTTTATAGCATGCTCCCATAAATCTCACATACAGTTAATGGAATACCAATTTGCAGAAAATCAGAGTAGAATAAACCATGCCTAATACTTCGTATTGATCCTGCATGGTCTCTGATGATTTGTCTTCTCCTAAAAAGGACTCTCATATACAAATTAGACATTAGCTAGGGCATGCAAAAAGGTCAAGTTCCTGAAGGCATTTGGGAGTAGCTGAGGCTGCCGTTGAGCAAGCATTTACTGAGCTGCTTCTGTGTGCAGGTGCAGTGTGGGGTGGGAATGCTGAATGGGTTGCTCAGGGTAACTGGGTGAGCCATCCTTCCCATCCTGCCAGGGGTCAGTCGTAGGATGGGTCCTCAGACAGCTTGAGGCAAGAGATAAGGACCAGGTGACCTTGAGGCAATTCAGGTTCCCACAGTGCATCATCTTACCATGCCAGAGGTTCTCTGGTAGCTTTTAACATTCTCATCTATGTTTTAGGGACTTGGTCACAGAGAAAAGGTCATGGAAAGTCTTATCCTGGAAAGATGTTGGGTAATTGGTAATTGGTGTCAGGATGGCAACCAGCTCTCAACTGTTGCCTGTGAACTGGGAATTTAATTACAGTGCTATTACCCCCTCTTCCCATCCCTGTGCAGATGAGCTAGAAAAGATAGTGTGACCTGAACTTTAGGGCCAAGCACACAAGGAATGTTGTTTTCTAGAATGGATATCATCTGACAGAGGAGTCCCAGCTTTGGGAATTGGAGACAAGAAGATATGGTATCTTCCTCTCCCCCAACACACAGGCACTGCAGCAGGTTAGGAGGAGACCAGTGATTTGTAATTCCTTTTCCTTTACCCAAGAGACCTCCTCTTGTCTGTAATCCCCATGCTTACTGTCCTGCCATCAGACAGTGAGTTCTTGGAAAGCAGGACTGACGCCTCATCTTTCCTAGGGTCGCCTCATCTCTCCTAGGGTCGTAGGGGCTGGAATGCCAGAGGTGCTGCGCTCAGCATGTTCTCTGTCCTGGCTTGGCCCTGACTCAGGGCAGCTCACCAGCCTTAGGCTCTTCTTTGCAACTTGAACGCAAATGGGGTGGGGCCGGGTCATGTCCATAATATTCTTTTCTGGGCCCAGCAAACCTCAAGCTCTGATCTGACAGGTGTCTCCTTTCCTGCATCTGACAGGAAGACTTATTCTGATCTGGCTGTGGCTTTTTTTTTATGTATTTGGTACAGGGTCTCACTACACAGCTGGAACTCATAGTTATCCTCCTGTTTTCAGCCTTCCCTCCCCTGTGATAGGTTCTGTCCCTAGTATAAATTGCTACAATCATTATGGTAGTCATCTAATATGGCTGATGCCCTTAAAACAAAAGCCCATCCTACCCCAAGACCACCTCCCCTTCTTCAACTCAGCCCAAGTAGTTGTAGGAGTAATTTCCTTCTACCTTTCCAGCCGCCTCAGGGAGGACCCCCAATCGGCTCCCTCAGGTATCGAAACACCCCCTCCAAACTCCACCCCTGGCAGAAGGTCATAAAAGCGCAGCATCCCTCTGTTCCAAAGGATGAGAAAATTCCTCATTCTTCCCCACATTCTCGCCCACGTCCTCAAAGAAAATAAAGACACTTTTTTTTTTCTTCTGCTTGTTTCTCTGCTGCGCCAAGAACCTGCACCCAGCACTGGGATTACAGGTGTGCGCCGTAACACCTGGTCTCGTGGCCAGCTCATCATGCCTGGGGGTGGGGCCAGGGACCAAACCCCACCCTCTGCACTTGCCTGAAAGCGTGATTAGTCCACCGAGTTATCTCACCAGGCTTTTTTTATTTTTTATTTTTTTTACTTCCAAGACCCAGAAATCTTGCATTTCCAGAGCTTCTGCTTATGCTTGTATCAGAAGCCTTCTTGCACTTTCTAGGTTAACTAGTTACTCAAGACCAGCTGTGAGTACAGATTAAACAGCAAACTCAGACATTTGTTGAGTTTTCTGCTGTATATTAGGCTCTAGGGCTGCAGAAAGGACCCTGTCTTGGATTCATGGCACAGTTAGACAATCTCTCTCTCTCTCTCTCTCTCTCTCTCTCTCTCTCTCTCTCTCTCTCTCCAAAACATCCGTTTTCTATTCATCTAATAGCTGCTCTAAAAGGGATTAAGCCAAATGCAAAAATACTAAATGAAGCAACTGCTCATCCTGAGGGGCATCCAGAAATACCCTAAGGAGTAGTTGACATTTACAGTACACCTTGAAGATAGAGAAGACACTGGGGTACATAAGATGACAAGAACAGGGGCATGAAAAGACCTTGTGTATTGTAGGCATGCTGACTCTTTTCTTTAAAGAGAAGGTCTTGCTATATGTCCAGACTGGCTCAAGAGCTGCCATCGCCTTAGCCTCCCAAGTAGCTGGGATGGCAGGTGCACTCAGGCCCAGACTCTTGGTGTGCAACAGCGCAGGACTCCCTCCTGCACTTGGGGCACCCTAGCAGGTCTGACTGGGGCCAGGCCTTAGCCAGGGCAGGGCTAAATGCTAATTCTTTTTATCTTCCCCATTTGAGAGTGATGCCTCTGGCTGGCCTTTGAGGCTGAAGGAACTTCTGCCAGGGACACCTTGGAGACTTGTTTGACTTGAGTGTAGTC